AATATGGAGGTTCCTCAAAGATCTACAAATAGAACTACCATTTGATCCAGCAATCACACTTCTGGGTATCTACCCAAAGGACAAGAGAACGCTCAGTCAGAAAAGTGCTTGCACATCAATGTTTATTGCAGCATTATTCATGATTTCCAAGACATGGAGCCAACCTAAATGTCTATAAACTGATGAATGGATTGAAAAAGCGTGGCATATATACTCTATGAAATACTACTCAGCCATAAAACAATAACAAGACCCTGGCATTTGATAGAAAGTGGTCAGATATGGAGGATCTATTGCTGAGTGAAGTAAGCCAAGCTATGAAAGAAACATATTGTATGTATTCACTTAATATATACCAACTATCCACACTCTATGGTAGAGAGCAAAACATTGGAGGACATAAAAGTAGTGAAAATACTTAACGAGGATAAGACAGTGTGGAATGGGGAGGTGAAGAAAAGAGGATAGAGAAAGATGGAAAGAGAACAAATAGAGAGGCATGACATTAGTGGGACACAGATATGGTTTATTACCTGTGGATAATGACATGTATAATATTCTCAACTGGATTGGTCTGAGAAGTATTTCATGATGGGTAAAGTCTTTTTACAACCAAAATGAGAAATAGTGATTGACTGGTTAAGAAAATAATTGGAATAATAATAATAATGATCGGGAAAAACAATGAAAAGATATTGAATGATGAAGTGGGGATTTTAATGTCTCTGTATTGACTGATATGCACAGCATTCTCTTTTGTAAAAGCAATGTAATACACTGTAAAGTTATATGCAATTCAATGTAATATAAACAAGATTATGATGATAATAAATAAATAAATATTCTCAAAAAAAAAAGAATAGATTTAGACAAATGCTGAAAGTGCTGGGGTTGACTAGCTGATAAAAACATAAAATAAAACGATTAACTAACAGGAAATATATAAAGAAAATTAATTATAGTTTTCTATATGGCTAAAATGAATGGTAACTTATGGTCATAATGAGTAAATATCAATCTGTGTTCTTTGTGGGAAAATTTAAACTATATTAGAAGATACATGGTAGAACTGGAGATATGAAAAAGAACTATCATCCTTTAAAGTATGAAGTCAATAAATAATGCCTAAAAAGGGAAGATCAAGATATAGCAACACAAATATGTTATTTAGAGATAAAAATAAATATTAAAAATGATCACCTAATAGAATTGAAAGCATTAGCCTCTGGGAGGGAAGAAGAGAGGAAGGGGGAAATCAAAGAAGCATACAGGGAACTGTACATATCACATTTTATCCTGCCAAAAAGAAAAAAAAAGCATATTTACACAAAGATCAGAAACAGGAAAAGACAAACGCTCCCTATACAAGATGGACTAAAGAAGTCCACTAGGCCCAAAATGACTGTGGAATTGAGTTTCTTGCCAAGAGCTACTGTGGCTCAAATCCTTTGATTTGAGTGAAGTCAACCCTACTACCCTAGCCACAATTATTGGATTAGAATCAATGCACAAGCTAATATGATCACATACAGACCAATCATCACCCTAGTCGTGTAGCTAAGCATTTCTCTCATTAGTGGTAGAAACTGCTCAGTCAGGGTGGAATTAATGCACAGCAATAGCAAACCAACCTACCATACTCTCTTCAGGATGATTAATACTAAGTATACATAGAGACGACAGGTCATACCGGTTCAGGTGAATAAATGTCTCTAGAGCCTAGTGTATTATCCAATCTCAAATAGGTGCCCCCATGTGATTCCCCTAAGGCTGATGGGACTTCATTTCAAAGTATCCTTCAATAAATCTACACATACACACACACACCCTAAAAAAACAGTCTAACAAAAGCACTTCATAGTTCAAGAAAATTAGCTGTTTCAGAACCACTCAGTGCATCAGCTTTCCCTCAAGAGACTAGGCAAAAATGATGGAAGAGTTAAGAACATAGTAAAAAAGAGATTTTCAAATTAACTGTAGATCAGAATTATCAAGGAATGTACTATTCATTTTATTTCTTTTCCCTTTCCTTCCTTCCTTTCTTTCCTTTTTTTTTTTTTTTTCTCCCTTTTTTGCAACTGCCAAAGTTTGGAAACAAGAGAAAAAATAGGTAAAACTCAATGTAAGACAGGGGCTGGCAGGTGGTGTGGTGGTTAAGGGCGCTGGATTCTCACATGGCCTACTGTGGTTTGAGTCCTGGACCTGGTGGCTTGCTTTCTCACTGTGCCCTACCTGCCTCTCTAACCCTCTCTGGTCAAATTAAAATAAATAAATAAATACACAAAGTTAAATAAAGTAATTTTTTAAAAAATTCAATGTAATAAAATTTTGCTGTGAAAAAGTAGGCTATGGGGAACCAGCAGTTAGCGTAATGGCTATGTCGCTGGACTCCCACGTAGTCGACGGACCCGGTGGCTTAAAACTCACGCCGGGCTCGTGTGTGTGCGTGCCCAAGATCCCAAGAGGAGAATGGAGGAGAAGGGATTGTGGCGTGACCATCCTCCCTGGGGGGTGATTTCTCGCTTTCTGTCTCTATGTCTCTCTCTGTCTGCCTGGCGAGCGCACGCGCCCTATAGTGAAAACCTCTCAAAAGAAAAAAAAAAAAAAGTAGGCTATGTTCCGAGCAATGTTAATTTAATTCAGTAAAATAAGTAATCTTATGATATAAGTCATTCTACTCACCTTTCCTATGTAACTAACACATTTATAAATCTATCACCACATACTTATATAATCATTTGGTTTTTAAAATATTAAACAATCCTGGAATAACACGATAAAAGAATTATGACCAATTGAAATTTTTAAATAAACTATGACATAAATCATGACAAAACAAAGATACAAAGTAATTTTCTTCAACTTACTAGTTGTTATACAATGAAGAGTATTTGCCTGGTACTTAGAATTTAATGCTTCTATGGAAATCACTAGCTGCTCTTCTAGCAATGCTCCTTTTGATACTCCAATTTCATACTTCCAGTGAATTATTAAATATCTCAAAATCTGAAAAGGACACAATTCAAAGAAAACACAATCTTCTTTAGAAATCATGGTAATAACAAATGTGTATGATAGTTAAATTAGTAACTCTAATTTTTCCCCAAAATTGTATTCTTGCTTGTGAGATTTGTTTGTTCAGAACATTGTGCCTAAACAGAAGAAATAGCAAGAAGAATGACATAAGAAAGAAAACAATGAGGGGCCAGCAAGTGGTTAAAGGCACTGAATTCCCACACTGCTGATCACAGTTTCAGTCCTGGACCTGGCAGCTTATTTTCTCTCTTTTTCTCTCTATCTCTCTCTGGTCCAATTAAAAAAAAAAAAGAATAATAAATAGAAATAAGTAATTCTTAAAAAAAAGAAAGAAGACAGTGAAATTCAACACAATACCCAGCAAGACTGGAAACTGAAACAATAAATTGCTTTAGTCAAAGGTAAGATAAGCTGGAAATAATTATCAGGGAAAATTCAAGTGGGAGTTTCTGTTTCTTTTTCTCCTCCCCAAATAAAAGCCAACACAAAGACTATGAATAAGAGTGACATCTGGTTATGAATCATCTTTACTTTTCACTAAATCAACATTTTTGGTGGTCTGAATACTATTTACTAGTGCTGGAGGCAAATGCCTGTGTTTATTCCTTAGTATGCCAAATTCAACCATGTGACTTTAGGAAAGTTACTTAACCTCTCTGTACCCCAGATTCCTTATCTATAAAGATGGGAACACACCTACCACATAAGGCTGCTGCTGAAAGTAAGTATGTGCAATGCTTAACACAGTTCCTAGCATAAAATAAATATTTAAAAGAGTTATCAGCTATTAGATCTAATAAGTTCATGTGTCGTAAAGACCGTACATAATATCTGAAGTTGAACAGGAATCCTTCACTATGTCTGAATAAAGCAGTCAATCTTTTTTTTTAGATTAGATTTTTTTGCAATCACTGGGGAGAAGGGGGGTTAATGATAAATCACACCCTATGGGGGATGAATATGCCTCAATCCATTCTCCTCCCAGAATTTTGGGTAAGCACATCACACCTGCCCAGCATGTTTTTCAAGCCACCAGGTCCAGGACTCAAATTGCAGAGTCATCATATGGGATCCAGAGCCTTAACCACCATGCCATCTGCTAGCCCCAAAATATACAATCTCATTGAGCCAAATTTAAAATAAAGTACATTATATTTAATTTCCATTATTACTCACAGGAAGCAGACTCACTTTTATACTAATGTGCTATAAGGAAAATTACTACCCTCCCTTTTTTAAAGAATTATTTTTTAGTCATTACTATTTTTCAATTTGCAATAGGGCACGTGCACTCACCAGAGAGAGACAGAGAGGGCAAATGAGAAAGTAAGCCGCCAGGTCTGAGACTCGAACCACAGTAGGCCACGTGGGAGTCCAGCACCTTAATCACCATGCCACCTGCAGGTCCACTCCCTTTTTTTGTTTGTTTCATTTTGCTACAGGGTGTGTGTGCTTACAGGAGAGAGAGGGAGAAAGAGAGAGAGGGAAAATGAGAAAGCATCCCCCATGGGGGATGGCAACACTGTAATATCTCCATTTCTCCCATCTGGATTTTGGGTAGGCAGTAGTGAGGCACACATGCCTGGCATGTTTTTCACATCACCAGATCCAGGATTCAAACCAGGCAGTCAGCCATGTGGGATTTAACCACCATGCCACCAGCTGGTTAATTATTCCTCCCCCTTTAAAAAAAAAAAAAAAAGGCTGGGACCAGCAGTTAGCTTAATGGCTACGTAGCTGGACTCCCATGTAGTCGACCGCGGTTCGAGTCCCAGACCCGGTGGCTTAAATTCACACCGGGCGCGTGTGCATACGTGCCCAAGATCTCGAGAGGAGAATGGAGGAGAAGGGATTGTGGCATGGCCATCCCCCCTGGGGGGTGACTTCACCCTTTCTGTCTCTCTGTCTCTGTCTGTCTTTCTGGCAAGCACAGTATAGCAAAAAAATTAAAAAAGAAAAGAAAGAAAAGAAAGAAAAAAAGAAAAAGAAGCTGAAAGATATGCTTAAGAGAACCTAGGAACTAAGATCCTAATTTGTACCAGTTTACAGGAATGATTTTTGGGCATTTCTACAGTCTAACATTTTCCTGCACACAACCTCTGACTTTCTGTGCTCCTTGTGTTAAGATTTTCTCATAGTGTCTTTATCCACATGAGAGAACCATTGAGAGAACCACTGTGAGTCAGAGCCTTGGGTTCTCACCCAGGTTGTCATCTGTGAAATCTAATCCTTTAACATCCTTTAATGTTAACAAAGAAGGTAGGAAGACTGGGAACACTCTAAAGTGCCCTCAGAGCCTGTGATTCTATTTTACCTGTCCAGTATCCCTTACAAGGCCAGTAGTTAACCATCCAATTAGGCGATGACTGTGAACTGAACAAACGTGGTGAAGCCAAGTGATCAGTGTCATCTTCCACAGGTATAGAGAGGGTTGGGCAAGGCCTCCGAAGTTCACCCTTTCATCATTCAGTTGTTCCTGGCACCAAGAAATCTGCACCACACCTCTCACCCTCACTCCCATTTTGCACTGATTGGACCTTCCTTGCCTGCTGTTTTGATTCGCTGATATCTCGCCCAGGTTGCCCATTTCCTTCCCTCTTTCCAAGTTCCCTCCCAGCAGTGTGTGTGGACCACGCTGGGCTCGAGCGAGATCACCTACAAGGCTGGCATCTGGCTCTGACCCAGGGCGTCAGATGATATTTGGCAAACACCTCAGCTTTCTGAACCTTGGCGTTCTCAGCTGGAAAGGGGATGGCGTTTATCTCCTCACGTGAGGACAACGTCCCCCCAGTTAATTAGCTGTTCCTCAGAGTGCCCAGCGAGCATGACAACACCGCGTCTCCATTCCCCGGGTCTCCTCTGCTTCTCATGACCCCGAGGGAGGTGGGCTGGTTTTCACTCATTCCCACCTTTCCCAAAACTTCCTCCTCCACCTCAGGCTGACCCCTGGGCCCACACTTCGCAGCCACCACACAAAGCCTGTCTCCTCAGAAAGCGTCCTTCTGTGCTTTCTCTCCCTTCCCAACGTCACCTCGCAGACTGCTATGGCCGTCCCCTCCATCCTGCACAGACAGCAGCGGCGACACCCACTGAAAGGCTACATTCCCACCTTTCCCAAAACTTCCTCCTCCACCTCAGGCTGACCCCTGGGCCCACACTTCGCAGCCACCACACAAAGCCTGTCTCCTCAGAAAGCGTCCTTCTGTGCTTTCTCTCCCTTCCCAACGTCACCTCGCAGACTGCTATGGCCGTCCCCTCCATCCTGCACAGACAGCAGCGGCGACACCCACTGAAAGGCTACTAGCCCACAGTCGAGGCCAGCTCCACCGGCACCTGGAGCCGCAGCTGGGAGCCGTCAGGGCAGGTGGGCCGACGCGTGGGCGGACCACGGGGCCTAGGCGAGGCCGCCGGCAGTGGCAGGGGTG